ATAATTTAAAAAATATTTTATAAAGGATGAGTTAACTTTTTTTAAATAAAAAAGAAACCTATTTTTATCGATTAATAGAATTTTCTTGTTTTATTGTATGACAATTCATTTTAGTTATTTGTAATTTATAGATTATGCTTTTCTTTTATTTGACTCAAGGCTCAAGCATATTGGAAAAAGGAAAACCATAGTGACCGCGTTACATTTATTTTCCTTTTGGGATCGCGTCGATCCAACGCCTCCGATGTATTCCCATTTATCGTGATCGAACTTTCTCGCTTTCCGATCAAATCACATGGAGGAAGAAAAGACTCTGAGGGTAATGGCTGATGCCTTCAAGGAATTAGCCGGCGCGATAAATCAATTTCCTGCCGGAGAAGAAGCCCGCCTCGAGCTCGGCCCCTTCTCTCGGGCCTGCTCGCTTGTCTCCCCCCTTTTCCGATGCTTAGGTATCGCCTTCAAGTTTGCAGAACTCGATTATGTGGCCAAGGTGCATGATCTTGAGGAGGCTTCCAAATCAATTCCGGTGTTGCCGGTAATGGTGGATGGCGATATTGAAGCCAATCGCGTGAGAACGGCCGGGAGCCATACGAGGAACCTGCTTAGGGTCAAACGCGGAATAGACATGGTCAGGGTTTTGTTCGAGCACATTATTTCTTCAGAGGGGAATTCTCTCAAGGACCCTGCTTCGAAAGCCTACGCGCAGGTTTTTGCTCCGTACCATGGGTGGGCCATCAGGAAGGCTGTTGCCGCCGGAATGTATGCCCTTCCGACCAAGGCTCAGCTGTTGAATAAGTTGAATGAAGATGAAACATCGGCGAGGATTCAGATGCAGAACTATGTAACTTTCGCGACCCCTGTGGTTAAGTACATCGATCAGCTCTTCATCTCTAGAAAATTGGGCATTGATTGGTGACACTGAAGGATTTAGATTAAGAGTTTTTCGTGCTCAAATTCCGATTTATATGTCCTGTATTATTGCTATCATTTGTTGGAGCTATATTGAAATACTGACTGCTGTCTTAATAAATGATTTTGGTTTAGGTTCAATTGATTTTATGAGTTATATTCTTTGGTTCTCTTCTCAGAGCTAGTTGATTTCGAAGCTTGCCTGGCCAAGTCTGCAAATTTTTATCTTTATTAATTTTATCTTTACCGGTAACACTTTGCATTTCTCTGTAATCCTATGGAAATTGTCAGCATATTGGCGTATGTGTGAATTGGTATAGCTACACCATCCTTCCATCTAAACAGTTGCTTATGATAGATTGAGAAAAAGGTATTCTCTTTTTTCGCTTGTATTATTTTTTCTGTTTATTGGTTCATGAGAGAAACATAATGGGTTCGGGAAGCAAAGATTTGGTATGTTAGCGCTGAACCATCTGTTACAGACCTACATTCATTACATGGAAAAATCTCCTAATGGCCAGTGGCTGCAAGCCTGAAATCAGGTAGGTTGTAGCACCTACACTCGTCAAACATTGTAGTTTCTCCAGTTCTGGGGCATTTGCATATTTTGAGAATTTTATTGAGAAAACGCCTTTTTTTTCTTCTGGGCCAAAAGTAAATTTTGGTTTGGTGGAAAAATCAGGATTTGGGGGTTCTACACATTTGTGTTGTATTTAATTCGGTTGTGTTTTTCTCTTCTTTTCTTTTTCTTTTTCCAGATTGTTGTCATGAACTCTCAGGTGATGAGCTGATGCTGGTACTTTGACATTTTATGGCTTAATAAGGTGTCTGAAGTTATTTTCATGTAGTCCATGTTATTTTGTTCACACACTTGGCAAAGGTGGTTTTGTTGTAATAGCATGACTCGAGTAAGGTCTTTTTCATCCTGGGGTTTAGAGGAAATTTACAGTATATAGAAATGAGTTCGTATCATTATGCATTTGAAATTCAAATAAAGCTGAAAAGTGTCATGCCCGGTGGTTGTAGTTTTAGAATCTGGCATATTGTTAAGTTCCGGCATACTTTGTTTTTCCAAATATAAAATTTGGTCTGTTTGATGGTTGGCCAACTGTTAATGTATTTTCTTTGTCCCATCCCTTTTCCATGTTCTTTTCTTCTTGTTTGGGTGTAAATTCTGGACATAGATTTCAATTTCTGGTCTGAGCGTTGGTCCTCTAGTGAATCATTTTTCACGGAGAAGAAGCTTCAGTAACTCTGATCCATACTTTGGAAATAATAGCAAAAGAAAAGGCTCGTGGCTTGCAACCAGAACAATGTCATGAATATCCTTGCAGCTGATAACTTGAAGACCAGTAATGTTGCAGCTTGCAAGGTCAGTGTAGTGGTATGTATGTGTCTGGTTTGTTCAGGTTGTTATAGTGCAGAAACCTTCTTGTGGGCTGGTTTAGTATACATATATGTTGACTTTAGCTGCTCCCATTGATGGTAATTATTTATGACGATAGATTGCTGAATGCGAAATAAGTGTAGTGTAATGTGTAAACACGTATTAACTTGACAAGAATACTGTTTTTCTGGGCAATCTTTTGGTTTACGTAATTCATCAGCTTCTATGTTGTACTTTGTAGTCCGATTTATGATGCTACAAAATTTTCAGGTCAGGAAAAGAGCACTAAACAGAGAGGAATCATCAAAGAATGAGAAGGACATAATAGAAGCCAATTCAAATTCTCTTGCTGTCCATGAGACAGAACTTAAGGTTTGTCAAAGTATTAAAGTTTGTTGTGCCCATTCAGCATTCGAAACTGAATAATGTAAAAAGCTGCTTTTATTGTTTTTTACCTTTGTATTTCTTTTATTGTTTTTGTCTTCTTGAAAAGCAAGGCCTTCTGGTTTTATCCAAAAGTTGTTGTCTAGCAATTTTGATTTTCGTTTGTTGGTTGGTACTGAATGGAGAGAGCGAGTTTCTGTGCACTCTGTAATTAGTTTTGTTGATCCCTCTTCTGGAGTATATTCCTTCTAGAAATTAGATTTTTTTCCTTCCAACCATGATTTAATCAGTCACGTTTTCGATGATAACATGCTCCTTTGTTTATTACTTGAGTAAATTGGAAAAAACTACTGAACTTAATGCTTGGTTGTTAATGGTTTGAACTATTTTTCTACTGGACACAATTTGAGTTCAGAAACACAAATTTGGCATTGCCAAATAGGCTCCATGTACAACTCAATTTGGAGGGATGTGTGAGAGGTATTGAAAAGAAAGGCTTGGTGACATGATTGGAGTGAGAGAGGAGGGTGAGTTGGATGGTTTTCAGTCGGTGAGGTAAAATTTCTTTTTCTTCCCAGTCCAGTTGAATGACGTGGGATTTTCCAGCAAACTCAAGTTAGCCAAAAAAAATGGCCAATATTTCCTTAGCACTTGAATAAAATATACTTTTTAGTGTTTTTCATTTGTTGTCATGAAATAACATTAGGAAATGAGCACTCTTGAAATGCTTATTTCCGTATGAGTAAATGATCATTTCTTGATGGGAGATGATTATTTCATTTAACAGTAGAATTCCAGACAGGAGTGATACATTGCTCGTGGGGAAGTCATATGGAGAGGAGAAAAGATCATTGGTTGTTGGAAATAGTCATTTCTTGTTTAGAAATGGGCATGGGATTTATCATCTCCAGACGAGAAATGGTCATTACTTTCTGTAAGTCATTTCATATGGAGAGATGATCATGGTGCCCTGTGTCATTTCACAACACATGAATTAAAAAGAAATTTCGTGTCGAGAAATGACCATGGTATCCCAGTCATTTTAGAACATACATTTTTCACCACTAAAAGAGATCATTGGATTCGGCCACAACAATAGTGAACTTAGTTCATTGGAGTTGGAAGATACTAAAATAGACTCGTTGACAATAAAAGCCATAACCAAGGCCTGGATCCTCATTTTGACGAACTGCATATACAGATTTCTTCAACCAATGAATGATGATCGTCCCAAGCAACAAAGATGATTAACAAACACTGTGTTTCAAATTTCAAGTGACGAACTGACACTGGAATTTGAACACTGACTAACAAAATAAAGTAAAGTCACGAGTACTCTTATAATCTTCTCAGTGAAATATTTCTTGTGTAGCCATCTATCATATTCTAAGAACAGTGAAAAATGTGTTCTATACAAAATTCTTCCAAAAAGGTATGTAGGTTCAAAAACCGGTTTTCAAATCTTTGAAATCTTCAATCTTTTATTTAAAACCAAATCTTCTTAACTTAGGCAACTTCATGCACATGTCCCGGTTCATTGATAGTTCAACACATTCTCTCTATTTCTTACATATGGAACCATGTTTGCTTATTACCGCCGCCATCAATCCTAATAATAGTTGCACTAGTTAGGTTCAAATAAAGGTAAGAATATAATTGCACAATGGAAAATTAAAGTAATTGTGTCTTCCTTTTTTCTTCAAGTAATGTATCTGAGCATCCTATTTGAAGATGATGAACAATTATATATTTTTGAATTAATGCTAAAATAGACACTATCTTACATTTATCTTGCAATTTGAGAAATGTAATTGTCCAACTTTTAGTTTTCTATCTATCTTTGCATACCATTTATTTCATCCGAATTTCAGGTAGTTCAATCAAATACTAGTTTTTAAGCGAAACAAAAAAGTCAGACATTTCTTGATTTCCCAGAGGATGATTGACGAATAAAAATTGACGGTAACTTGCCATTGTCTTCGGACTTTGAGCTGACTATAGGAGACTATGAGATAGTAGGAAGTCTAACAAGGAAAGATATACACAAGGGCCATAGAGCTAATCTTTTTGAAGATCTTATCTAGATTTGCAAGGATCCGAGTAACCTATAAATTTTGAAGTGATATTATCTACACTTACAAATATACTTGGACCGAGTTTGAAACCCTCACACATTATTGTCTGAAAATTACCAATTCTAGAGTTTAGAACTAATTTAGAGTCGGAGTGCTTACTCCGAAACCCATTCGGGTGCTTTGCAAGTTCTCGAGTCGACAAAGGTAGTGATTTGGTTCAAGACATATGAAATACATCACCTTGTTAACAATAGAGTCGCACTCACACCACCAGGACGCTTTCAGATCAATTTGGACGAAACCGCAGCGAAAGAAACCGAAGGAAGCAGGTGTTGGTCCCCACTTTTTCAACAAAACCAATTGCCGTCTTCCTCAATCCTCCTATTCCTGTATCTCCAATTTTTCTGCTATGACAAAACATCATCATAAATATCAAAAGTGTCGGCGAATTATGTAATAAATATAAAAAATATATGTACGAAGTAAACAAATAGACTTACATCTCGACCCGATGACGGCGGCGAAGAATTCCGACGCGTCGTCGATCCGCCGTCCACTCCTCCCCGAACCCCATCCTCCACCTCAATACATCGTCGTCCTACCTCCCCAACTCCCCCCATACCGCACTAATGGCCTCCACCGCGGATGCTGCCGGCGCCGCCTAATATGCTCCGCCGTCCTCCTCCTCATCCTCGCCGCTGCGGCGTATGTCCTGTGGCCATCTGATCCGGAACTCTCCGTCGTCCGCCTCAGCCTTGGCGGCCTCCACTTCCACACGAGCCCCCAAATTTCGCTCGACCTAACCCTAGACCTGACCGTCAAGGTCTGGAACAAGGATTTCTACTCCATCGACTATGAATCCTTGAAAGTCGCCATTGGGTACAGGGGGAGAAGGCTAGGGTTCATGACTTCCGATGGCGGACGGGTCAAGGCGCGGAGGTCTTCATACGTAAACGCCACGCTGGCTCTCGACGGGGTGGAGGTGTTGAGCGACGCCATCCCGTTGCTGGAGGATTTAGCAAGAGGTTCCATAACCTTTGACACTGAGTCGAAGATCACTGGGAAGCTCGGGATTTTCTTCTTCGACTTGCCTCTCAAGGTGATAATTTATCTATTGACTAGCTAATCCATTAATCGTACATGAGATGAATTGGCCGTTGTTTTAGGGGTACATTTTGGGTAGGTTGTGGAATATATGCTTTAGTGTGAATTAGTTTAGGATTTAATCTACACTGCGGCGATCCTCTTTTCTGGTTTGTAGTTCACAAAAGCCTGCAAAACTCGAAAAATAGTTTGGAGCTGGGACAAAGTTAATTGGCCATCGGTGTCGATTTAAGGAATTGTTATGAATGATTTAAGGAATTGTTATGAATGAAACTCACGCTCTTGTGATTTGAAGCTGGATGCTTTCTTTTCATCTTAATGCACTTTTGGGTCCTATTTTGGAAGACGTGTAGTGATCGATCCTACTCTAGTTCTGTAAGATTTTAAGGAAAAAGAATTCAATGAATGTGCCTTTAGAGCTGCAGACCTTCTATGCAGATCATTTGTTATTCATCTGTGACACTGGACGTTTCCTTGCACTCTGCACCATATATATTTTGAACCTATCCCAGACTTCCATGTTGAATTTTCAAGTAGAGATCGAGGTTATGTTGTTCTTGATGGTGTTCAAATGAATTTGTCTAGTTAACAGTTTTAACTCTTTGAGTTCAAAGCCCTTAAGAATCATTATTTGCTGAAGGAGTATTCATGTATGGGTTTGGTTCAAATTTGTTTATTAACATTCTTTTAATTTATAATCTGCTGCAGGCAAGAATATGGTGTGAAGTGATTGTAAATACACGCAACCAAACAATAACTCATCAAAATTGCTACCCTGATTGAGGTAAACCTTCATTTCATCAGAGTTTAGCAGCATGCTAATAGTCATAATTTGTATATTTGCTGAGTTTATTAGCAAATGGAAGATGTGCAGGAGAAAATTCCTTAGAAATCAAGCTCAAATCGCAACACAAAGTAACATCACATATTTTGTTTTTCTTTTTTTTTTCTCCGACTTGAATCTACTTCTGAATATTACACTTCTTTTCATAAGCATACGCCACAAACACTCCTAAATTTTGACTAACATTCTCTTACAAGCAGATTTGGCATAGAATAAATCGATCGAATTGTTGGATATTGAACAGGTATGAGGATCAAGTCGAGGAAGTGCAACATTTGGGCCAATTCTTGGAATATGAAGAAACCATGTAAATTTTCAGCAAGGTTTCTATAGTATGCACCTTCTTGAACTTGCTTATGATATTTATCAAGTATTGTAATGTACTTAATTCTACGATGATATTTACTTATTTAGGAAGTATGTTAATGAACGCTCTATACCCCTTATTCAGAATGTAGGCACCTCACCTGCAGTCATCTGCTTGAATTCTTGATTATGTACTATAACTTTTGTCACTCTCAGAGCTTGTTAACTAATCCTATCAAGGTTGTGGGCTTTGTATACTTTGTATAGCAAACAATCCTCCATTTTATTACTACCCTAGAGTTTGTACAAGAAATTCAACCTTTACCAGGACTAGATACAGTTAGCGATTATTACAGAAACTACCCAGACATTTAAGTCTAATTGCAGAAAAATTCCATTACCTTAGAAAATCACAATTACCTTCCTGAAATTTTCCAGTCTATTCAAATAAAGACATATTAGACACATACAGCAGGGTCTTATTGGTAATTTCACTAAGACTTAGCTACGAGCCTACTGCTAATCCACTTGTACTTCCCATGGTGATACCTACACCTGAACGAACCCGGATGATTGGTGGGCGAGCACACACATACCTTTGTAATCCGGCCAATTCCACCACCTGCATGAACCAGTTGCCGCCCTCTTGCCGCCTCTTCCGTGGTGGCTACCACCAGCTTACGGCCATCTTCCAAACCGGAACTCAACGGGTAACACATCTTTTATTTGGTGAGAGAGAACAAATTCCCTTTGCTTCGTATAAATGAGGAAATAATAAAAAGAAAGTCTTAGAGTGGAGAATAAAGGATCATGGAATTATAGAGGAAGAAAAGAAAGGGGAAGTATAATTGAAAGGTGGGGATCCTTTTGTATTG